TTACATAATTATCCATATTTGATTTGTTTAATGATTTCTTGCAAAACAATTTATCAATTTACTCAAAATAATTAATCAATTATCTTATAAGGAAACAATTATCTTATTAATTGATAAATATCTTCAATTAGATCAAAAATATAGTCAAATATATCATATAATCGGATTAATATTGATCTAACATGATAAGGTAACTATCCATGTGCAAAAACAGCAAGAAATCCCGAGATAAGCACTATCTGACGAGTTGACTCGTCGAGTCAAGCCTGGACTCATCGAGTCACCCTGGACTCGGCGAGTTCAGCTATGGACTCGGCGAGTCCAGCCTCTAGAACACCAAAAAAACGAATTTTTTAGATATACAATGCATCAATACAATTGAAACCATCCTAGGCTCTGATACCACTGATGGGTTTTATCATAAGACATCCTATGTGCTCATATAAACCCTAATGCTTGGATCTAGGTTTCTCTATTGTACATGCTTTGAATCCAAGACTATAAACCCTAATTCTAGCATATGGAAATCGATATTAACATATAATTAGGTGTAAGATGTTACCTTGATTGTTATGTAGCAATAACAATCCCAATTCCACCTTGAATTGACTTTGGAAGGCTTAGAGTCACAAGTGCCACTCCTCTAATGGTTCACAAACACCATCCAGCAAGAGGATGAAGAGGAGAGATGATGAAGGCTACCAAAAAACGTGTAGAAACCCTTACAGGAAGATTGGCCACGTTTTTGAGCCTTAAGGGGTCTTTATATAGTTGGGCTGTTAGGGTTATCTAACAAGGAAACCCTAATATGAATGCTTAAGCCCTAAGCAACCCATAGACTTTCTTTTAATCAAGCCCTTGGACGATTTCCTTATGGGCTTCCCCATAGAATTCGTCCAACCCTTGATACAAGGCAATCCATGGCCCAAATTGCAATTATCTTATAATTACAATTCCAGTCCCTTAAGTTTAATTAATCTCTTTTAGTCACAAAACTAATTACTAATTAATTATTGACTAATATGATTTCTCCTTTAATATATTATCCTATCAAGTTGCTTTGGTGAAGGCAACCCAAAAGGACCATGCACCATTGGGTCAAGTACATACCAAAATAGTTATGGACTTAGACACTAATCCAACAGAGACGACGTGGTCGACACTTTCCCAAGTCATGGTTACTATACATTTCATTTTTTGCAATCTTTTGCACCACATTTTCGAAGTTGGCAGTCTTGATTTTATCGGCAAATTCAGAAGCAGCAGTTCCAGTTTCCAGTTTTTCAGCAGTATTTGAAGCAACTTGTAGCAGCCCCATTTGATCTCGCCACAACTACCCCAGGGGAGTCTATTCCTTTTTCTCCCTTTTTATATGTTTAATGAGTTTTATGCATACAATGAGGACATTGTATGAAATAAGTGTGGGGTAGGGGGTCGGTAAAAGTAAATACTGAAAAAAAATGAAATAATAGTTTGGAAATTGCTAGATGTAGAAAATTTATTTTTTTTTTTAAAAAAAAACTTGAAATAATAGTTTAATTTAGAAAAATCTAGTGATAATTTAAAATTTTGCTAAAATTGTATGAGATGATCCGATGAGAACTCAAATGTTTAGTTGAGCTTATATACGTTCTAGTGCATTTGTGGCTTCCTTATTCTAGTGAAATCATGAGACAAAACACGACCTCACTCAGCTTGAGGGATGCAATATGTTTAGCATCGTGTACCAGAAATGTATCCAGGAAAATTATTATCGTTAACCAATAAAGGTTGAAGTTGAGCGCCCCTGCTTAAGCATGTAGGGTTTTGAGTGAAAAAAGAGAGGTACATGTAAAAAAAGAGAGAATTACGAGAATTTTGGAGCAAATAAAGTGAAGATCAAAAGATCAAAATTCTAAGAAATTGAAAAAATTGAGGATACCAAAAAAATCAAACAACAAAGTGGTGAATTCAAAGAGATCAAAGATCAAATTATCAAAGAAAGTGAAGAATTCAAAAAAGCTCCATAGTGGTATCATAAATTGTAATTCTAGATTATGTATGCTTGGGTTGCTCAACCAAAAATACCTTGAGGTTAAGAGGTTTTCTGAGGATGGATTCGGAGGGATGCATAAAATGAGCATAGTTCGGGGTGAGCGGGCGAATGTTTATGAGGATTGTGATTATTTAGAGTATGGGGGGTTCCTTAGGAAAATTTTAGACACAAATGCATGCGTTGCGGTCTTGACATAATGGCTGAGTTTTAAATGGATTGTTTAGTATGATATTGGTAAAATAAACGTAATTCTGCTTGGGGGCAAGCAAAGGCTAAGTGTGGGGTATTTTGATATGTGTATTTATATATATATATTTTTATGCATTATATTTTAATATTTTGGCATTTATTATTCTCTATTAGAACTAAAAAGTACTTATAATGCTTTAAATTATGTTTTGCAGCTATTCGTTGATGATAAAACACAAAAGAAAAGACTGAAGCGGAAATTGGGCTTAGAGGCTAAAAGAAAGGAAAAATGCTGGAGGAGCCATTTACGCCCCGCATACTGAACTTGAACGCCAAGCGTAATGGCTAAATTGGAGTTATGCCCAACGTAATCTTCATTTACGCCCCGCGTAACGGCCGACATCAGATAACTCCAGTCGCGTAATAATCTTCGGTACGCCCAACGTAATCCGACTTACGCCCAGCGTACGTAAGTCGGTTACAAGGGTTATAAAAGTCGATTATCAGCTAACCAGAAGGGGGGATTCGACTTCTAACCTAATTTAGTCGATAATTAACTTTTGTTAAGCCGTTTTGAGGGTCTAGAAGGCGGTCGGAAGGCCGTTAAGCTAACGGGAGCGGAGATCGGAAGGATTGGAGAGCGGATACATGTCGGTAATGATATGGGTTGTTAACGTGACCATGTTTAGCATTCCATTGAGATACTATTATGTGTTTAGTTTCTGATTTAGGTGTAAAAACCTTTTACTTTGAGTTTATGATTAAATAAAATGTTGATTATTGGATTAATTGCTATATTGAATTGTTTGTTTATGTTTAATTTATCTTGCCAAGCTTGTTAAAAGATCCTTACATGTTAATGATAATTATTTGCTGTTAATTGCCAAGTAAATTGAGTTGTATGAACATCTGCTTATTTGCTTGTCTCTTATGATTTTGATAACCATCGAGATTATAAGTCTACGAATAACGAATGTGAAACTAGGATTAACTTGGGAATAAGTAAGTTAATGTGTGAGCCTTGTTTGATGACCATCAACAAGAGGTTAATTGAATTAGTAATTTGATTAACTATTATTACAAGTCTTGCTTGATACGAACTGAACACTAGGAAGTATGTTAGTTTAATCAACTGATCACTGTTTGAATTGACTTGTTTGCTAAAGGATTAGTTATAGTGAACGCGAATCTAATCATTTTAGGAATCGGTGAACATGAATAAATGAATTTGTGTATGCAATTGTCTATGCTTTTAAGGTGTAATTTATCTAAACCAAAGTACCTGAAGAGATTTGTTTTCCTGTTAATTTATCGAGAATTGTTAATTAATTGTTAGTTTGAAATTCAATAACCATTTCTTTATTTCTTGCATGTGTCTTACAACCTATAATCAAATATTTTAAATTAATTCACCACCGTTCCCTGTGATCGACACCCAACTTACCTAAGCTATACTGTAACCTGACTAGGTACACTGCCTATAAGTGCATAGTTAGTCTAAGTTTGTTAGGTTATAAATATTAAAATTAGTGAGTACTTCCGTGCACATCAACAACGAACAAACCAGAGCTACATTGAATATGTTTTCAATGTTTCAGAATGTTACATTATATCGGATTATAGCTGTCCTGAATTAGACAAGTATCAAAAGGTTCTAGAAAATGATATCTATATTGATGTTGGTCCGAAGTCCAGAATACAGTGAATTCCAAACACAATCACAATTCCAAAAACCTGGTTTTAATTCGTATCAAAGTCACAGCTGATTGAACTCGGAGAAGCACCACCATACTATCCAGGTTTTCCCTATGCTATCCATATAACCAAAATAGAAATATGTACTACTCATTACCTGTATAGAATATTGAACTTCTTTTTACTACTAAATTACCAACTTCTATCATTTTTTCTTATTTGGCTGAATATATTGGCTTGATATGAAAAATGACAGAAGTTGGAAATTTAACAACTAATATAGGGGTACATTTGTCACATTTTTAAATAAAAAAGCCAAATGAAAACCTGAAAAAAAATTACCCCATAAATAACCACTTCCATCTTTAAAAAAATTACTTAATAGGCTTTCTTCCTTTGATTTCTTAGAATCTCATAGTTGTTAACCCTGACAACACCTTATGCATTTACTTACAAACAGACTTCATTGGCGTTCTTTCGAAGATAAGGGATTGCACAAAAGCAAATGGAGAACCATTTGTGTTGCTTATACTAAGCGACGAAAGGTATATATAGTAACCACCAAAAGACACACATAAATATCATCATCCCTAACTAACCACATACAAAATCATATTCCATTAGTGGCAGTGAACTTGCAATAAATCTATGGAAGGAATGTATAACAAATACGCAGAAATTCAACCGTGCCTCCCTAAATCACCCATCTGCAACAACTGTTGTTGCAGTAACGAACCTAAAACCATCAAAATCCTATGGTACCATCTTCTACAAACCTACATATATATATATATATATATATATATATATATGTGTGTGTGTGTGTATGTGTGTGTGTGTGCATCACCACTATCACATCACATCTCCTAATACCCTTAACTACAAAATATCACCGGTGTAGGAGTATTACGATAGGGATCATCACATGCCACACATATCTATGTCAACCCCGATATACCGGAGATAACAGCACTCACAGATCTGTAAATCACATAAATTACTGAACTTTTTTATGATATATATCAATGAAATTGTATACCAACAACAACGACATTACATATTCATAGGACCCTCAAGGCCAATGCCTATGTTATCGGGAATGCCCACAACCTTATACCAAATAAAACTGAAAACCAAATCCGACCTACTGGTAAGACGATAACAACACTATTAGTATTTACTAATACAGTCCGTTTAACATTGTCATGTTCGGTTACTTTCTATTTATAGGACAAAACTTTCATAGTAGAGGCCTCAATCAAGGAATTTCACTTCCAAAACACTTGGTACCAAACAATATGTCCAATCTGCAAAGATTCGATTTTCAGAAGAGGCCCCCAGTGGTATTGCAGTGTACATGGACTAATTGAAAAGCCAGGCTACATGTAAGCATTTTCCAAAGCACACAAATAAACCACTATTTGCTCATCATACTATTTACAGATTCTTCATATGTATAGATACAAACTTACTGTTACCATTGCCGACACAACGGATACCAAACCCGCAATAGTGTCCGAAACATCATGTCGTAAGCTATTAAAATCATCACTCGAAAAATTCATATCCGACAACCCGCTGACTAATAGGAACACCTTGCCTTCAATCATGTCCGATCAAAAAGAACAAACCAAGACCATGTGTATCCAAATGCTAAGGGCATTAACTCCTGACAATATCCGTTTCATAATAATCGACATCCAACAATCAACTATACCACCGGAAACACCCGTACCAACAACACCCGGACAAACACTAACGAAAAGAATCCGATCGGATAACGAAACACCTGAGGCAAGTGAATCTGCACGCCCTGTCGTACGCACCCTGACCTTTACTCCACCAGGTAAAAGAAAATGTAATAATGTCAAAAGTAAACACCAAATTACGAAAACCATTACTAATGTTTTCTAAATTCTTCTATCACGGGCCCACCAACAACAACATTTTTGAAACGAACCACAAAGTAACGAGTAACAGCAAACAGGACCGTGAAGTCGAACTTTTCATTCGGATACTAATTTTCCCTTTGTAGTAAACAACACTAACAACTATCCTATGTAATATAAACAATAATAAACAAACAACGTTTGCATGCTTGCACTCAACCAGAATTTCACAAAACAACTAACCATATATACTTATTTAAATATATAATAGGCTTCCAAACATACACCCGACAATATCTAATACTATGGATACAATGACATATACATATTTAATATCATACCAAAACAGACAAAAATTCCATAAATCTATACACTTCAATAACTTACCCGGAATGACTCTATATTGAAAAACATAAACATAATAAAAAACTTCTTGAATAAAGCACACATATCAATTCCGAATACCATATTTTCCCATTTTCCAAAACAAGGATATCCTGTGCGGTCAAAGATCTCCCCAGATATCTCCAATTTAATGCCACACCTGTGCCAAACAATCACATCCATCTAATAAAGGAAAAAAAACAGTAGTCGTCACCCTACATCTATAACAAATCAGAACACTTATTAATTACTTCCAAAAAATGCAGTCCAACAACCATAATCCTCCTGTATAAAATACCACCCCAGATAGATCATCCTTCCACCAAACACGAAACATAGCAGATGGAGACCATCATGGAGAAACTGCAAAACCAACTCGACACAATGCAGGAAGCACTTGCCATGGTCCAAAACACATTCACCTGCATCAACCAAACAAGGAAAAACATGATAAACGAAGCTCCAATGGAAATTCCATACAGGCATGTTGTCGTCACCAAAACCTTCATCAACGACCTCGATCAAGACACGGTGGTCATGCTGGACATCTTCCATGCAATGCAGGAGAACATGGCTTCAGCAACTGAGATCTGCAAGAAAATCATCAACGACCACCAAGTCCCATGAAGAAGCAAACCCAACTCTTTTGTAATCAAATGTCGAGTATCTACCTGTTCCTGAATGGACACTTTTGTAATGAAACACTAAGCAATGAAGGATATCTTTTGATGCTTATCACGTAATCTTTTTTATCTTTTATCACTGTTTCTAATGAATAACACCTTTTAAACTAGTTCCATTATATAATCATCCGCTCCATTAAGAGAGTATGAAATACATTACATAAAAATTACAACCGATCCCTCTGCCCCTTGCGAAGCAGGGGTAACGAATCTATTTATTATTATTATTATTATTATTATTATTATTATTATTATTATTATTATTATTATTATTAGCTTATCTAAGTGTTCCCTCCGACCCTCCAAGATCGTTTTAAAAATTTGTATTTAATAAAAAATATGACTATAATATAAATAATATATATTTATACATAAGATTACAATTTAATATAGAAAGCTTGTATTAATACAAAAAAATAAATATGTATTTATATAGTTTCAAATGTAGGGAAAATGACACAAATGTCCTATGCTGTTTCTAGGGTTAGTCCATTTAGTCCCTAACATTTTTTTGTTTCTTTACAGAGGCATAAGGTGGATTTTAACCTGTTTATTTAATCCATTGAACCTAAAATAGCAGGTATTATATGCCACGAAATCAATTGAATATATGTGGCTCTTGCAATCTTGCTACAACAACATTAAGATATTTACTATTTCCCATTTATCTATTTCACCTTAAAGAAGCCCTTCACAACCTGGACTTGTTGGTCTTTGGTAATTAGACAACTCAATGTTAAGGGGAATATTGTTGATAAATGTTAATAACTTCTTTGAAATTCCAGATTAAACCAACTTAGTATTTGCGATTTTAGAGTTTTCTCCATTGATGAATTCTTAGTGTTCTTGTTTCATATTTCAGATTTCACTCAAATCTAAGCTTATGAAATCGATCGAATCGGTTTTATGCCTTAAAATTGTTTTTGTTGTTATAGTTGAATTAATTTTTGTATTTCCTATTGAAATTTTTTTGCTAACCAAAATTTATGGATCGATAGATTTTGTTCTTCGTGTGATTGCTTTTCAAAAATCAAGTTCATATGTTTGTTTTGATAATGAAAGCAGACTCGTTTCAACTTATCGATTTTTGGGTTGTATGGATTGAGGTTCGGAATTCATATAACAGCTTCATTAGTATCTCGATGGTTAATTGATGAAAATATTTATGGGTTATTTCAATGGTTCTTGAACGATGTTGTAATAATTCAGAATTTGGGATAAAATTGATCCAGGGGCATCTTAGGAAAGTTACATTTTTATGTCGTTTTTGTGTTTATTTAGGATTCTATTAGTATAAATAGGAATAATGTTTACGCTAATTTCATTCAGTTTTCAAGTAAATTCCCAAAATTTCATTTTTCTTCTCCTGTTCTTGTTCTTGCACTGTTCCTCTTTCATTCGATTTTATCCCTTTTGTGATTCCCAGTGGCAGAGCTAGGGTCAAACTTAAGGGGTATCCCAATTTTTTTGTG